AAAAAAAAAAAAAAAAAAAAAAAAAAAAAAAAAAAACCTCATCTCTAAAAACAAACAAACAAACAAACAAACAAAACCCTGCCAAATTGTGAGCAGTGCTTCAAAACAGCCTTGGTTCTTCAGATGCGTGGACAGGGCGAGTCTGCAAGGCGGAGGCAACGGGGACCCCAGAGAAACCAGGGCAGCCCTGCCGTGGATGGAAGGCCCCACTACTCTCTGGTCCTCAGTGCTGCTGGGCCTGAGCCAGGGATTTAAACACCTTTTTCTCATGACAACCAGTACGGCGTCTGCCAGGGTAGATTTCCTTCAGTCCTCATCAGAGCTGAGGAGGGCCAGGCTGGGCAGGCTTACACTGGGTTTTGCACAGGGAGGAAAGCGGTTTCTGACTCCAGGGTGGGCTCCCCACACTGCAGGCACAGCCATGAGGCATTTGGGGTTCCTGCCGCCCAGCGCTGGCCGAATTGCGCCCGGCTTGTTCAACTGCACACAGAGGTCCATTAAGCAGAGCCCTTGAGAGATGGTAGTTAAGTGGATTTTGTGATTAGCTGAGAGATATAAAGAAAATCCATGTTAAATCCTATTCTTTAGAAAGCCTTACTGTTTTTAATGACTTATTATTCTTTCTTTCCTGCTTCAGTAACCAGATTTGGTGGGATTACAGGCCAGAGCCACCATGCCTGGTCCTTATTTATTTATTTTTGAGGTGGAGTCTTGCTCTGTCACCCAGGCTGGAGTGCATTGGCACGATCTTGGCTCACTGCAACCTCTGCCTCCTGGGTTCAAGTAATTCTTCCTGCCTCAGCCTCTTGAGTAGCTGGGATTACAGGTGCCAGCCACCATGCCCAGCTAATTTTTGTATTTTTGGTAGAGATGGGGTTTCACCATGTTGGCCAGGCTGGTCTCAAACTCCTGCCCTCAGGTGATCTACCCGCCTCAACCTCCCAAAGTGCTGGGATTACAGGCGTGAGCCACTTCCCCCCTGCCCCTGCTAAATTTTTTTGTAGAGATGGAGTCTTGCTATGTTGCCCAGGCTGGTCTGAAACTCCTGCCTTCAAGCGATCCTCCTGCCTTGGCCTCCCAAAGTGCTGGGATCACAGGTGTGAGCCACTGCACCTGGCCAACAATTAAAATCTGATGAGAGACAGGCAGATGATGCAGGTGGAGGTCGGTCAGAAGCTATCATGACAAGCTTGTCCTTACTGCCTTCTCTTTAGGAGGAGAGGGGACAGGCGAGTAGTCATGCTGGTTAGTGACTCGTTCTGAGGTTTTGATGCCTGAGGAAGGCGTGGTAAAGACACACTGGCGCCAGCACATCCCAGCTTGGTCATGTCACTTATTCTCATAGCCGTGTCTTCACCTGTAGAGTGGACATAGTGCCTGCCTCACATAGGGAGAGGATTGAAATTATTATGCAAATAAGTCAACGCCGTGTACAAGCTCCAGGGCCTTTATTAACAGTGTGAGAAGACCCCGGCAGGCCTGCTTCGTTTCATGTTACTTCTCTGTGAGCACTGATGGAGAACCCACCTTCTTCCCGGTGCTCTGGGGCCCCAGGGTTGGGTGAGATGGAGCTGTGTCTTCTCCAGGCTTTCGGCCAGTGGGAGAGAGCAGAGCGCTGTCATGGAGGCGGTGTGAAATGCTTCCTGAAGGAAACATCCTTCTGCCTCATCTTGGGCACCGTTGGCCTCGGCATGGGTGGTGGTGTCGTCCCGTGGGCCCCAGCCATGAAGTCCCTGGGCTGCCTGCGCCCCAGCGTCGGGCTCGCTCTGCTCACACACCTGGCTGTCGTCAGTGCCTCCAGCCTTCCCACTCGCCTGTGCACCTGCTGGCCCTGTCCTCGGAACACGTGTGACAGCGCCTGGCCGCGCGGCTCATCCAGCAGCTCGGCCTGGACAGCTCAGGGGACGTTCGGATCGTGCCGTCTGAATGGCGGCTCCTCTGCTGACGTTCTTGCCTCATTTTATTCTTGCGTCCCGTGTTGCTAATGAGAGTCTTATGTCAATCTGATTCTCATTCACGGGCTCGCAGTCTTCAGAGCCTTCCCCTCCCGCGGAGCCGACGCAGTTTCCCTGTATTCTGGGCGTTCTGCGGTGCCGCTCCGACGCGTCTGAGCTCCTCTCTGCTGGTCCCGTGCGGTTCTCCGCGGCCTTTCACAGCCTCCCAGGCTTTCCTCGGCGCTGGGGATCTTCTCAACCATCAGGCTGTTTCCTCTTTCCGGAGCTGCTGCATTCGCGAGTTTCTCCTTCAACTCAGCTTCACAGCCTCCAAACAAAACGAAGCTGCAGTCTCAGCGCTGCCCTGGGAACACGCTCCCCGACCCGCTTCCCGAGGGTCCAGGCCTCTCCCACACCCGCTCCGCTAGCGTCTGTCCTCGGGTGCTGCGGGCGAGCGCCTGCCCCGGCCCCAGGCCGCTCTGGTCACCCGCCGCACCGCCAGCGTCCCGCGGCGCCGCCAGTGCGCCTCCTTGCCCTCCTCCTTAACGCTGGTGCCCTCGAACCTCGGGGTTTCGTAATGCCAAGTTCATCTTCTTAGTGGATATTTCAGACACTTTTCTTTTTACAAGATAGGAAAGCAAACTTGAGAGTTACTTGGAGCCTTCGGGTGGCGCGTGGGTGTGGACGG